AGAGAGAGAGAGAGAGAGAGAGAGAGAGAGAGAGAGAGAGAGCACGTGGCACGTTGGTGTTGTGCCACGTCAGCACGTGGGTTGGTGAAGAATCGGGCGACGGCCGACGACCACGGCCACACAAACAACGACCGCGGCCGCACGGACTAAGACCTCTGCCGCACGGACAACAATCGCGACTGTGTGAGGAGAGAGAGAGAGAGAGAGAGAGAGAGAGAGAGAGAGAGAGAGAGAGAGAGAGAGAGAGAGAGAGAGAGAGAGAGAGAGAGATGCATGTCGCGAACGAGGTCAGCATCATCTCGTGGCCGAGCTGGGAGAACTCGGAGATACAGCTGTGTCCTGAAGTGGAGTATGAATCAACAAAATAGAGACTGGTCGTAGTTGTGCAAAACCGACTCTATGGCGGGTCCGGCAGTGCGAGCCGAAGGCGAAGGGTTCTTGATGGGCATCGACCTGGGAACGAGCACCTGTTGTGTCGCAATTTACCATGGCGACAGAGTGGAAATCGTCCCGAACAGGATCGGTTCTCGAATCACGCCATCCTATGTGGGTTTCAGTAAAAAGGAATGCCTTATTGGGAATCCCGCTTGTAATCATAGTTTCCGGTGTCCGAAGGAATGCATATATGAGGTGAAGCGGATGATGGGGCGCTCCTTTCTTGATCCCGACATCCAGAGATTCAAGGAGAGCTGGCCTTTCCAAGTGGCAGAGGGACGGGACGGCGGTGTGCTCATCCAGGTTCCAAATGAAGCGGAGGGACACTCATCTTTCGAACCAGAGGAGATTTCTGCGAAGTTGCTCGCAGAAATGAAGCACATAGCCGAGGTCTTCGGTGGCGTCGAAGCAATCACTGATGCTGTCATCACCGTTCCCGCCTACTTCAACGATAGGCAGCGGGAGGCGACAAAAAAAGCCGGCTTTCGGGCAGGACTGAATGTGCTCAGACTGATCAATGAGCCGACGGCCGCGGCCGTGGGGTACGCGCATCAACGGGTATTAGGGTTATTGGAGACTAACGAGTCGAGAAGAGTCATGGTGTTTGATCTGGGAGGGGGTACGTTCGACGTGTCGATCATCACTCTGTCCCTCCGCGAGGACGGCACTTACAGCTGCCGTGTGAACATGGTCGAAGGGGACCCTTGTCTAGGGGGCGCGGACTTCGACAGGAGGATTGTCCAGCACGTGGCGAGGATTGTCAAGGAGAGAACTGAGATCGACGTTTTCAAACCAGATGACAACAGTAGGCGGTTGTATGCTAAGTTGAGAGAAGCAGCCATTGAAGCAAAGCGCACTCTTTCTGCGTACATGGAGGCGGAAATATACTTGGAAGGAGTCATTACCTTAATGCTAGACCGGGGGACATTCGAGGCAATCAATGAAGATCTATTTCGCAAGTGCATCGCGATAGTAGAGAAGGCTTTAGTGGCGGCGCGTCTCCGACGGACTGACATCTCGGATGTCGTGTTGGCGGGAGGATCGACTCGCATACCCAGGGTGAAACAGCTGCTCCGCGATTTTTTTGGATCTGAGCCCAGGGAAACTGTCCACGTTGAAGAAGTAGTGGCGTACGGTGCGGCGATTCATGCCGCTGCCATCGTTTCGCAGCAGAGGGAGAGTATAGCCGGGGACATAGAGGTTCTGGACGTGACACCTTACAGCATCGGCATCGAGCTGGCGTGTGACGAAATGGCTGTACTGATCTCCAAGACCTCGGATGTTCCAGCGAAAGGCGAGAAGCAGTTTGCGTTATCTCATGACAATCAGACGAGCATGCGTTTCGCGATTTACGAAGGTGAGAGTGCTTTCTGTAGTCATAACTACTTCTTGGGAGAGTTGAGAGTGTCGGGCTTCGAGCCTGGCCTCGCGGATGGCGTACCGGTGGTAAACGTTATCCTGAATATCGATGAGCACGGACTTCTTGTCGTGGAGGCTGAGCCGACTGCCAGGCACAGCCAGCGTGGAAGGACCTGGCAAGCGGGCTTCAGCAGGGGTGTCGCTAAGTCCAGGAATGGTATTGAATCCTTACAAAGCTCCATGGAATCCGAAACGGATGATGCAGCTGTAAGGGAGTGCTTCGCCGCGCGAGCACGTGTGCAAAGACTAGCGTGGAAGATCCGAGACGATAATCCATCCCCTGCTGCACTCTCCAGGGTGAATGAAGTTCTGGGTTCCCTTCGCACTGAGGCACAGGTGAGACGTACTTATGAGTACGAGGCACTGCTTATTGAGCTTAGATTACTCCATCCGCCGAGGTTTTAGTATCAGTAACCTATCTCCGTCGCTGCAGCGTGAGGGACAGGACGAGATGGTGGGAACGCGGCTGTCTCCAGAGAAGCGGATGAGGGAACGGAGGGCATTCTGCCAGTCTGAGAGCGGCAAGCCGTTCCAAAGGCGCCGAGGCGGTGGCATGTCGAGGGCATTAGGCAAAGGTGCGTTGAAAGAGATGTTCGTTCTCGTATGGTGTCGAAGGCGAGGGGAGCAGACAGGGAGAACTTCACGGAACAAGGGATGATACTATCATGATAGTGGTTCAACGGAGGGATGGAGGTGACACTGTGGGGATACCAACGGAAAGACAGTGAGCAAGGTGTCGCTGCGCCCAGCCCGTTTCTCTCTCCAACTCAAGCGCTCACCTTCTTCTTCTCGAAGACTTCTTTCGTTAATAATTGTGCGTTGTATATACCATTCATGGAGTTTCCTATTTCTAATCATCTAGAATAACTAACATGGTCATTCATGGAGACAGATTAAGGTAGTGCTGTCACTGGACGATCTCACGGGGACACAGTCGTTCTGGTTCCTCAGATCTTTCATCTCCTGATTCCGATTCATTTTTTTCTCTCGATGAAACCTGGCTGATGTTCAAATCAGGAGGAGTTCATTTGACATTACGAAGGTATTTGCCATTGACTCCTCCCAAAGGGAGCACTAGCCGCAGTTTCCTCTCAGTCAATAAATGCCTTCTTTCTTACTTACGGGTCGGGTCGAGATGCTTGTGCGTGCTCGCGGGAGCGCGGGGGCACGAGCGTCCGTCGTCTGTCCTTGGTCGAGCGCACAGGCGGATATTCATAGGTCTTAAACAACGTACGTGTGCGTATGGTGCGCATGTGTCCACATATGAAAGCATACAAACGGGAGGGCAGAAGGAAACAGGGGAACACGCACACACACACACACACACACACACAGAGAGGAGGGGGGGGGGGGGGGGGGGGGGGAGAGTCGGGTGGCGACCCTCTTGTTTTTCCGTTTCAAACTCCGCTGCTTGCTTCAAGGCTTCCCGTCAATACCCTGTGAGATGGAATGACGTCGGTGTAATCTTCTTCGCCGGACGCTATACCACCTGATTTCGGTTCCTCTGTAATCCGGGCTTCAAGAGTTCGGATCCTTCAGCTCCCCCCCCC